TTGTTTTTATTTAGTTTCCTTTATACTCAATATTATCTTTATTACTTTCTACTGCGCATAATGCGCAGCGCATTCTTCACTTTGATTATCATGTTCACTATCCAAAAAGCTATTTGACTTATTCAGAAGATTTTGTGCCCATTCTTCACATCTTATGTCATCTGGATTCATTTTAGACGGTCCTGGAAAACCAGCAATCCTAAAATATAAATATTTTTCATAAACATTTTATACTATTTATTTACTAAAACAAAAAACCTGATTTAAAAATTGACGTAAAATCCTTTTTCACCTAGACAGTTGTCGCAAAACCCTTTGTGGTGCCTGGGCTGCAGCCTAGGTAGCCTTTACTTAAATCCGGCCCTGATTGTCAAACTAAAATTTGTTTATAAAATATAGAGATTTTCTTAAAAATATGCGACGTACGATTTTTAAGTAAATATATATTATTAAAATAAACATTTTTAATTAAATATCCAATTGATTACTTAAAATTTAAATTTATTAAAAAAAAACACTTCGCTAAAATTTGAAAAAAAATACAATTTTTTAATAAAAATGGTGCACGCGTATTAAAAATAAAATACTGTTTTCTGACAAGGTGCTTTTGCGTTATAAGGCGTTAAAGTTTTAAAAACTTTTTGCATAATAAGCTGAAATATTACACATAATAATATTAGCTGACAGATGTAATTTCTTACAGTTTGTGTCCAAAAATCAATAATTTAGTTCATCATAACTATGTTATTATAAACAAATTTTAACTTTATATTTCTAATACGTTATTAAAAAAAGGTCTTGAAAGATTAATATAATTATAAAAATGATATTCAAAACCTTTAAACTCCTCGTCAAAAAAATTGTTATAAAAGATGGATGGTCGAAGTTTTAGAAACGTATTTTATAAATTACAATAACATACACTCTTGCAAACCAACGTTAAAATTTATCATAAAAGGGCGCAATATCCGTTCCGGATAGCTTTGATTTTAAGGATGTCCTATGAACGTCTCACGGCTTATAAGAATAAATTCTTTGGTATATGTATTCTATAAAAATGAATTAGTCAAAAATGACTGGTTACTACAGTTATTAGTGGCTGCTTTTTCACTTATACCATGGTATCCCCAACATTTAATAACCAATTCTAATGTAAAATTGTCCTCTGAAACTATGAAAGTAGAGCAGAGTTTTTGAGATATAGTCAATTCCATATTATATGGAAAATTTTCAGCTCCCAAATATCTCGTGGTTTGTCAATGACTATTTCACTCATTACTTTATGGTCCAATCAGATTTCAGAAAACGAGTGGTTTTTTCAGTTTTTCAGCGATAAAACTACTATTTGGGTGACTAGCGGCTAGTGGTCTTAAAAATTAATGCTACTTGCGAAATTTACAAGAAACAAACATTCGTATAAAAATCAAAAATGTTATCGGTAAAATTGTATCACTAGTAGTATTATACTCGTATATACATATATACGAAAACCTTACTTTCTACTTTTATTAATAATTATTAAAATTGTACGTTTATGCATCGTTTAACAAATAAAAATTTTTTTGAGACTACTAGGTACTTAATTTTGATTTTTTAGTCTAATTTAATACAATATATAAAAACAAATTCAATACTTTTTTAATAAATAAAAGTTATTTTTTTAAGTAGACTTTTAGGTCAAGTCATTTATTAACTCTCACTGATTATTAAAAGTATCTTAAAATTAGATATTGAAAAGGTTTAACTATGTATCTAGTGAGGAAACCAATGCCAAAAATTAGTTCTAAATAAAAAATACTATAAATACCATGGTATGCAGTACCTAATACAGTGGTGGCTGGTGGATTTTGGGTATACCGATATCTCAATTATTAGATATGGGACCCACACCAAATTTAATTAGTTTGTAATGACATTAAATGAACAAGTTCTGCGCAAGCAGAATTTAAATTGAAGTTTGCGAAAAAAAGATAACTTTTTGCTCGGCCGTACCGGCCCCATGGCGCCCCCAATAAATATAATATAAATTTAATTTGTACAATTTATTATTAACCATAGTTTATCGATAAATTTCAAATTTTATTTAAAAAATCCAAATAATAAAGATTTTATATCATTTTAAATTTTTATTTTTTCTTTGAAAAGAAATATTAAAAATTTAAAATAGTATAAAATCGGGAAAATTTGGATTTTTTTAATGAAATTTGAAATTTGTCGATAAACTAAATTGCACCAATTAAATTTATATTATATTTATTGGGGGCTGTATACCCAAAATCCACCAGCCGCCACTGACCTAATACCTTATACACATTTATTAGTAAAAAATAATATTTGGACGTATTAGAGGTGACGTTTGATTGATAAAATCCTAATTAAACAATGATGCAATGTGGTATAAAAATAGTAAACGAATAAATTATGATTGAAATATAATTCAAACTAACCTTGGATTTATTGCAAATGGATTATTGTTGTTAAAAATATTTTAAAAACATTTTTATACTTGCAAATTTTGTATGCAATTTCAATAAATAGAAATAAATAAACGTTAAAATATGCACATATATTTAACAAAGAAGTTAAGTATTATGATAAATTCTTATTTCTAAAAGAAATTTTGCACTAGAAAGAATAATGACGACCGGTGAAATTAATTCTGCCTTAGGCTATACCTACATTTGTTTTTAAGGTCAGAGATATGCGGTGCTCAATTCAAATAAGTAAATTGTGTTAAAAATCAAAACATTTATGTTATAGAACCCTTTCTAACTGTGGTAAATGCCAAAGTTATTATAACAAATTATTTTTTGAATAAAAATCATAAATTCCTACTTAGGTAAAATATGTTTATAATTATAATTTAATTTAACTATAATTTGTATCTACTTATATATTTTAACTATATATAGTTAAAATATATAAGTAGATACAAATTTTATCATTATCTACTAAATATTTTTATAATTTCCATTCGTTAAATAATTATTGCCTATTAAAAATAGAATAAGGTATAATGAGGTTTTTTCAATATTTTTGTCAAAAATATTAAAATATGTGATAAAGCTCATAAAATATTCGAAGGTAATTTTTAAAAATCGTTTTTTATTTTATAAATACCTATTTTTAGTGTAGAATAGAAGGTAAAACATATGGGCAAATATTTTTAAATAATTATTTTTTATTAACATTAATTGTTGAAATTTTTTGTGCTTACGCCCCTGGTTCCTTTTAAACAGTTAATTGTTCAGGGGGTCCACGTAAGATAGTATAGGTACTTATCTCAGCAACTACTGAAGTAAGGGACAAATTTTTAAATTAATTTTAGAAATAGCCCACTAAAAATCATTATTTATACTTTATAGCTACAGTTAATAAGCTACAAGTTAATTAGGAATGTATTTTTCTTCAATATTGTTTGTGTTTTTTACGAAACACTTCATATATTTTTAAATACTCATATACATAGTGTTCCTACTTAAAATTAACAACGACATCGACATTCTTTTGTTTTTACATAAAACTATTAATCTCCGTTATTTATGGACAAAGTTTTAAAAATTAAAGTACAATTTTTAAATTACCAAGATAAAGAGGTTTATTATTAAATAAAGTTTATCGACCTGCATAAAAGCTAGAAGTTAGTATTGAGTATTAGTATAAGTAAAGTATGGCAGGCCCCATCGGCAACGCCTTACACCGATCTCCCAGGGTTATTTTACCCCCTTTCAGTTTCCCTACGTATCCCGCCACTGCACAGCATTACCTGTGTTTGGTATATCCGGAGGTCGTGAATGACAATGTCGATGGTTAAGGCCACCCGGAATTTTGTCGCCGGGCCGAGCCATACTCTCGATTTAGGCTAGTGGGTGACTGTGGACTGACCCAAAACTACAAGCACTACAAGTACAATCCGGAATCCATCTCAACCAGGAATTTAGTAATGCCCCCATTCATTTGGAGTTCATGAATGAGGTTAGGTTGGTTAGTACGCTGCTAGGACCTATCCTTGCTGGTCTTGTAGTCTGCTGAAATTCGGAAACTGTTGTGAGCAATAGTTTGCCCCACTGTGAGAAAGCTGTTTCTTCAGTGTAGAGGTCGAAAACTATCGATATCGATAGTTATCTTCGTTTTGTGGTAGAAATTGCTTTTATAATATTTATTCTATATAATTGCTCTTAACTTGTTTTTTTTAATTCTCTTATATGGCTCGCAGCAGGCTATTAATTTTGTTCGATGTTTAAAATTTAGAGGTGTTTAGTGGTTATTATGCTTATGTTTATGTTGGGCAAATATCGAAACTGGTTAGTCATTTTAGTTTTGTTCGTTCTTCCGTTCGTTCTGCCCTTTTGTATCGATACTATTAAAGTGTTTTGATTATTGTTGAACAATTTATTTATGTTTTTTTAGTTTATTCAGTTCTTCAGTTTTTTACTAATGTCTTTACGATAACAAAATGGTTTAATTTAATAATTATAACGAAAAATTGGAATAAATGATTATACAAATTATTTTGCGTAATTTTCAAAATTAAACTATTAAAAAGTAGTTTATTTAGTACTGTTAAGCAATATAAGCAATTTTTAAAAACTTTCCAATGAGGTATCGCAAAGAGGGCGTTGCCATTTAAAAAAATTGAGTTGGAGTGGCTACAGCCACCATCTTACTGATTCCCCCCACATATCCTTAAAACGATTTTGAGAAATTTTTGATATCTTTTTTAGGTCCAGGCCAAATAGACACCCTGTATACCTAAACCTAACGATTAACAAAATATTTATTGTAATATTTAATAAAATCCTTTAGATCAAGAAAATTTTCCCTTTTTTGTGACTCAAGTAGTTTCTTGAATAAGATGGCCATCTTGTATGGACCTCCCTGTACTTTTTAAACAATATCAGACATGTAATGTTCTGAGCTACTACGTATATTTAAAATTTTATTATCTTGTATTTTATACTGGTATTTAGAGTTTTTTCTAAAAGAATACTTATTTTTAGGTAAATTCATCAAACTCCGAAGTGGATACAGTAAAAGGAGGTGAATTGGAAATTGTTCAAAAAGCCCTAAAATACCAAACAAAAAGATGTCGACAGCTGGTGGGAGAATACACAAGAAAACTTCAAGAAAAGGAACAGCAATTCCATACCGAGAGAATGTTGAGGGACGACCAACTGGCTAAGGTGCTTAGGGCCCTCCTCATGTTCGAAGCCAGGTTAAAGCAAGAGCAAAAATTTATCACCCATCAGTTGCAAGAAAAAGATGACATTATTTCGAGGCAGAACAATCACATTAAAAAACTTATTTCGAATCAGTTTTGCAAAAATTGCAGTAAATATTACAACAGCAGCCCTGTTCAAGAGAGCCTCGATAGCAGTTCCGAAAACGCTGGCATAGACAATGACTACCAAAGTTCAAATTTTGAGTCTTTGGATAGTAGCAGCGAAACTAACACAACTTTCTCCGAAAATTGTGCACAGGAAGATTTTAAAATCGAAACGGAATCCATAAAAAATAAATTCAAAAAAAACAAAAACAGAGATTCGTATGGCCGAAGATCCAAAAAACTTCAACACAGAAAAAGCATCGGGACTTATTTTGAAGTGTTAAAATTGAGAAACGACAGTGCCAGTCCAGAATCTATTGACGATAATACCAGCAATGATTACGATAGGCTAGATTCACTACCTCCAGAGAGCGTAACCGATAAAATTAGCATCGTCTCTGAAAGTATTGAAAACCATTTCAACAAAAATCAAGAAAGTTTCTATACGCCCATGGAACCAATGGATTTAAGCGCATTCAGTCCCAACGTCTCCGAATGTAACGATACTGTCATCATTCGAAATATCAAGAACGAAGACAGTAAAATTCCTGAAAAAATATCCGAAACTATTCCTGATTTTGGAGAAGAAGGTGAAACCAACGAAAATTGGTATGCAAGTGCTAGCGATCAGGAGGACGAGGAGCATAGAGATGTATACAGAAATAATCCAGTATTGGAATGCATGAATCAAATACTTCTGCAAAATATCAATTTGAATTCTCCACCGAAAACACCAAATGTCGAAAGAAAGGCAGTTAAGAACAACAAGAAAGTCAAATTTAGCGACGACGAATCTCCTCCGAACAAGGAAGTAGTTGAAAAGGTTTTGATTCAGGAAAACGTAGACAATCAACAAAATTACTATGAAACTCCTATACAAAAATCTCCCAACTATTATGAAACACCTCAAAGTATCTACAGCAATGATTACGAACAAATTTTAAGCAAGTGTAACGAGTCATTTTCAGATTCCATTAACAAAAAAGAAGAGAAAAAACCGAACGACAATGATTATTTTTATGTTGAAATGGAAACAGAGAAAGAGCCTGAAAATATAATTGTAAGAAAAATGAAGATACTTAGAACTCCTCCTGCTCTTCCACCAAAACCAACCAATTTAGTTTCAAAATATAAATTAAAGGCACCACCGAAAATCGAAATAAAAGACAAACACACCGACACGAGCTCAGAACCTGATTATTGCTCCATATCTGAATTAAATCTTCCTACTAAAAGTTTATCGTTTAAAAAAATAAGTGTGGTGGCCGAAATAAACTCTCCTACATCTAATGACGTTCGAAATAAACTGGAAAAACCCGATGTGAAACCGAAAAAACCCGTGGAAAATTCCGACTATGATCCGGTCATGGTAAATTGCGAGGTCCCGAACTTGATTGTTCGAAAATGCGTGGAAAAATTCAACATCCAGGTGGCCAAGCAAACTCCCATAAAGTCGGAAGTTTCTACTGCCACGGTGAATTTAAAAAGCCCCAAAAAAATTGAACCGGAAATACCGAAGCTACCTCAGGTATCCGAAATAATAATACCGGACGAGGTGGAGGAACCTAAAGAGCAAGAAAGGATAACGCAGGACAATTACGTGAAAAATAACACGCAATTCTTTAAAACAAAAACGCCAAACGAATCTCGTAGACCCATTATTATTGGTTCATCCGTTTCAAGTTTGATTACCGGGTTCAACAACCACAAACTTTTATCGGAAATAAAGAAGAGCCCGGATTGTAATAAGTTAGATAAATCGTTGTTTTCTAGTTTTGAGAACTTGCAAAACTTAGGTAAACAAGATGCTACAAGAGGTGAGCCAGAAACTCCAAATTTTGAGAATTATGATTTGAGTCAAAATTTTGAAGAGTTTAAGTTGGACGATTGCGACATCGAGGAATATAACGTTGATATGTCCGATATTTCAATATCTTCAGAAAAGTCCGATATATCTCCCATACAGTCCCCCACTAAAAACAATTTGAGCAAAGTTGAAATTATCAGGGCCAAAAACGATTTAAATATTCCAGATTTAAACAAATGCACTGTGGAGCTGCTAAGAAAGCAACTGGAAAGTCAAAAAATTCTTAGATCTAAGAGTACTCTAAACAGTTCTAATAATGAACCAAGCTATGAACATTTCTTGGAGTGTACAGGTCTCAGTACAAAATCAATTGGGTCGTCTATTTTGACGCCATCCAGACTTGTTAGCAATCACAAGACCATGCTGAAACCCAAGGATGTTAAACTTAGGTCCAAAGTTAAAGCTATCAATTTGATAGAGAGACACAGTACTAGTGCTATAAAATATTGGTCTGAACCTTTTATATAATTTGTAAGGTTGCTTATATTTCCATTAATTTATTTATTTTAGTTGTGTATTTATTTTTATTCTTAATATATTTAAGCAGTCACATAATTTTATGGTAAAATCATGTTAACTAAAAACTAGTCTGTTATTGTTTAATGCAACCTATTATTCATTTTAATAACAAAGAGTTTAAAATTACCTATTTTACAAAATATTACTTAAAATTTAAAGTTTATTTTATAGAATTTAAAAAAATTTTAAGTTAAAAAATATACTTTTGATGGCAATCTTAGAATTGTATACTAAATTTTGTGTGTGCCATACTTTATTTTAAATATTTTAGGATTTTCAAAATAAACCTGTTTCCTTTTTTACACAAAAACCTAAATGCTGATTTATGAATGTTATATTTCATAGTAACATATTTTAAACCAATGTTGTTTTCTGAATAAATTGTACCATTATAAAATGTCTTATTAATTTAATATATATGTCATATATATATAAAAGTAACATATGTTACTTTTATTATTATTTATTTATTTATTTATCATCATAATTACATTTTTTACATATTTTATTGTACATTCTTATTTTATAAAGTTTAAATTATATTTTCAGTTTGATTCTGCCTAAACCCAAAAGGGTTTGTGCTGCAGAAATGATAAAAGAAAAAATTATAAATACGTTACTTAGGGCCGGTTTATCAATCTCTGGTTAAGTTTCAGTTAGTCCCCGGACAACAATCAGGATTTCCTGGTGAAGTCATGATGATATCACAACGTGATTTTTTTTATCACGCTGTGATATCCTGAGTGCATACACATGCTTCATCACGGTGATATCATGTAGAACTCACGGTGTGATATTTGCAAAATTTGCGCATGCGTATGAGCCCTGCGAACTGCGAATTTAAAACCTGTTTGTTATTCACATTACACCGTTATAATTTATAAAACGTTGTTTGAATATCACGAATGTTGTCCGGGTTCAATTAAAAAAGATATTCCAATGTTTAACAACCCAAGCAGCATTTTTGGTTCCAAAAACCATTGCCAAAGTGGTGATAACTTTAAATTAGTTAAGTATACTAAACAGCTACTTTAATTTTTACTTAAAAGTAATTCTAACTTTTAAATAGCAATATTTTGTAACAGAAACTTAATTTTTCCTTAAATTGTTACTATAAAGTAATAAACATTTAAGTAAAACTTGGTTGCCCCCAAGAAGACTTTGCAACTTTAAAAAAGATGTTATAAGTAAAAAAAACTTTCAAGTAAATTTAATTTGTAGCAGTTACTTTCGGTTGCTACCTAAAGATTACATTATAATTATTTTTACTTTGTAGTCCCTTTGCAAGTTAAAATCTCGAAACTGGAACATGAGTTAAAAACTACAAAGTTAATAACTTAAAAGTTATTATTTTAGTATTTGGAACGTTTATGGTACTAACCAAAACAACCGTAAAGTGGAAAAAACTTTAAAGTAGCGAAAACTACTTCAAAGGAAAATGCTTCTTATCGGCCATTTTTTACTGTACAGTACCACGTGGTAATGTAAATAATAAATTATTTTAATTGTTTGTAAATGGTTGTTTACTTTTTAATAAATAGAAATATTGTTGGTAATAGACGGTATTAATAATTAAATAAAAAAAATAATAATAAATATTAAGATTTTTTTATTTATAAACATTACTAAATAAATAATTTGTTTATACTTAAATATTGATGAAGCGCATTTATTTTACAAAAACTAAATTCATAAGTTCAACAGTAAAATTTAAAGGGTTTATAAATCTACCTGTCTAATTAAATATTATATTGTTATTCTGGAAGTTATAAACTACATACATATTTAATAAACGACGACATTGAAAAGCCAAGTCCGTAGTGGTTCCATTTAAAAAAGGAGGGATAGTATAATCTAATATAAGTTTGACAAAGACAGTTAATATAGAAGTAAAAACAAATAATAAAAGTAATTATAACGCTCTAGCAACGATATTGGAACGTTCTAGTAACGTAGCAGCTACGTCCCAAATAGTAGCAGCCCAGATAACATTCGTGAGTTCACCGTGAATGCACGGTGAAAAATATTGCTTCACGCGTGAATTCACGGTTGCTAAAAGATGCGTCCGCCCCTGGAATTCACCGTGAATGCACTCGTGAAGATATATCCGCCCATTGAATTCACCGTGAATGCACACGTGAAGATGCGTCCGCCCCTTAAATGCACACCTGAATTCACCGTGAATGCACACGTGAAGATACGTCCGTCCTGAATTCACCGTAAATGCATGCGTGTTCTAAATTCGCGCGAAAAAAATGAAATAAGGGTGCATGTTCAGAAAACATATTTTCCCCTATAGAGTAAAATAAGTTTTCTGAACAAAAAATGTGCATTCAACATTATTTCAATTTTTTCGCGCGAATTTTAGCATGCATGCGCACTCACTTCGAGCTTCACTTGTGCATTTACGATGAATTCAAGGGGAGGACGCATCTTCGCGTGCGTATTTACGGTGAATTTCGTGCGTATACTCAATTTTTTTTGCACTTAATTTTAAATTGGAACACAAAATAAAACGTGTTATTTTTTAAAATAACAGATTTTGTTATATTTGTAAAAGACCTATCCCATAAAACAGACTTTTGGATAGCGCGTGCCTGAAGAAGAGTGGTATCTCTTTCTCTTTTATATAATTAAAAAAAGACGACGTGCTTTTCACGCACGCGCTATCCAAAAGTCCGTTTTATGAGATAGGTCTAATAAAGTCAAATGAAAAATGTTAAATAAAGATGTGATTTATGTCCAATTGGAGAATATTTTTTTAGACAATTATGCCATCCACGCCGGCGGTGGTCTAGTGGTTAGTGCTGCTGACTACAAGCCGGAGGTCGTGGGTTCGAATCCCACCAGGGGTATGGCTGTTTATTTGTGTTTGTCCTATTGTGTATTAGTCCTTCGAAGGGGACTTTAAAACCCGCGGTCCGTTCCTACCCCTAACCGGCACAAGCCATTCAGTTGGCTTATGGGACTTCTTAAGAAGTAAGGGTGGAACTAAAAGAGCACTTTTGTATAAACTTTGTATAATTAAACTTGAGGTACAATAGTATACTGAAATAAAACACAAAGTGTTATGTTGTAAAGTTTATTCCGAATCAACCTCAGAGGTTTCAATGTCCTCTTTAACCTTAAAAATAAATATGAATTATAACATCAATAATACTAATTAATGCATACACATGAGTATAATACTGTATAATATTTTATTATAATATATATTATGTATCACATAATACATTATATATATTATATATTAATACATTACATCTACAGATAAGTATACTTACTGATTCATCACTGGACACATCATCAAATGAGTCAAATAACTCATCATTTTTTCCCCTTATTTTAATTTCTTTTTGGTCCTTAAAAAATATATAAATTATAACATTATTAATGGATTAAAGCATTTATTTACAAGACTCATTTTATAAAATTTAATAAATATTATTTAAAAAAAATATTTGTTTTTGTGTATAAAGTAAAGTCTTGCGATAGCTAATAAAAATATTCTGTATATTCATTTATTTTATTGATTAAAAAATTGTAAAATATTTGTCGACTGTATATTTACTAATAAAAATATTAAAATGGATGTCATATTTTGAATTCAAATAAAAACAAATCATTCAAACCAATTCAGCCGAGCGCGGCTTCGACTCATGAGGCGCAGTAAAAATTAATAATGTTTAAAGAAATGCTGGGCAGTGAAATTTTTTTTTCAGGATATGAAACCTTTATATCCAGTACATGTACCTAACCATGAAAAAAACTTGATTATTTGATAGAAACTTTCAAAATCAAAAATTTGAATGATCAAAAAAAGTATAAAAAAATTAAAAAAAAAAGTCCTGAAAATTTCACTACGAAACTTTTAACAGTTTTTTCACAATTAATTTTTTAATTAAAAGTGAGAAAAATCTTTGTTACAAAAAAACTGTTGAAATTAAAATAAAAAAAAAATATATTTTAAGGTAATATTGTTACTAATGACTACTAACGATTGATGTATTAAAATTTAAATTCTATTTGAAGTGGAAAAATGGGGGTCCACTTGACGTGATCTGACTCAAAAACAAAAACAATGAATAAAAACTTTATAAAAAAATATAACCACAATAAAGCGTTATAACCATGGTTATTCATTGTTTTTGTTGTTTTTGCAATAATTGTAACAATTATTATCAGTGCACTGATCTACTATAGTATATATACAATAAAATTCGTATCTTAAATTTGATCATGCAAAAATATAAAAATGTCAAACTTACCTTTGGAATTCCTGGCTAGCAACTTAAGTATTTATTGAACTGAATACCTATATATTATAAAACTGAAAAACTGAACCAAGATACATACACCTTGAAACTGAACGTTTATCTCTGAACCATAGAAAAAGGATATGAACTGAACGTTTTACCGGTATACAGGATATCTAGCTAGATGTTTACCATATATGGTATTCTATAGAAAACCTCGTGGCTCTTAGCTGCGTACGCACACTAACGCTGCAGTGTTACCGGATTGCAGCCGGATGATTTTCGTGTAAGTTCCCGACCAAAAATTACAAAATACTAGAAATTACCCACACGAGTAAAAATTTCTAGTACATTTGCTTAATTTGGAAAAGTGAATTAAATTTTGAATAAATTAAGAGAAAAATAAAAGGATAGAATTAAAGAATTATGTTTAGTTAGTAGTTATACAATATTATTTACTGAAAATTTCTTTGAAAAGTAAAATTTATAAAATACCTGCTTCAATATTTTACTTGCAAGCATGATGAAATACGCGATTTTCGGGTCAAATACCTGCAAGCGGCAACCCTGCATTTAGTTGAAATGTGACGGCCATAGGCGCATGCGCACGAGTGCCCGCGTATTTGGTTTTGCAATTATTATATATAATTATTATTACCTATAGGTATATTAAATATTAATAACTGATATTAATTAAAAAATGTACTTTTTTATTTTCCGTTTAATATTTAATAAAAATCTTTAATTAATATTCCTTTAATGTTATGTTTTCTTTTTCTTATTTCGAATTCGGTCTTCAAATTTATTTTGATAGGGTAGGTATACCTTCCCTATCAAACAGAGGTATAGCTAACCTATCAAAATAAATTTGAAGATCTTTAATTAAACGTGCTAACAGATCTGTATAAAATCTTGGAGATTCATGGCGTGCGCCCGGTGTGAATATTCAAATTGCATTACATTGCATTGCATTACATTACATTGCGCCCGGTGTGAATATTCAAATTGCATTACATTGCATTGCATTACATTGCATTACATTACATTGCATTAC